AACCCGGCAGCCGCTAGTGAGAGGAGGGGATGGATTAGGGGTGGGCAACACTAGTTAGGTAGGGGATGGGAATTGAGGGTAGTGTAGGATCTGGACAGGGAGGGGACAGGAGGCAGCATTACTGCTATTTAGGAAATATATTTGGAGGAGAATGGATTGAGAGCATCCCTGAGGAGAAGGACTTGGGGGTGTTGTTTGACCAGAAATTCAACATGACCCAGCAATGTGCACTCACAGCCCACAAGGCCAACCGTATCCAGGGCTGCATCAAGACAAGTACAGCCAGCAGGCCAAGGGAGGTGATTCTCCTCCTGTACTCTGCGAAACCCCACCTACAGTAATGTGTTCAGCTCTGGGGCCCCCAGCACAGGAAAGACATGGACCTGCTTGACCAGGTCCAGAGGAGGGCCATAAAGACAATCAGGGGGCTGGAGCACCTCCCCTGTGAGGACAAGCTGAGAGAGTTGGGGTTGTTCAGCCTGGAGAAGAAAAGGCTCTGGAGAGACCCTATATCAGCCTTCCAGTACCTAAAGGGAGCCTACAGGAAAGGTGGGGAGGGACTTTTGATCAGGGAGTGTAGTGATAGGACTAGAGGCAATGGTTTCAAACTGAAAGAGGGGAGATTTAGATTAGATATTAGGAATAAGTTCTTCACTGTGAGGGTGATGAGGCACTGGCACAGGCTGCCCAGAGCAGCTGTGGCTGCCCCCTCCCTGGCAGTGTTCAAGGCCAGGCTGGATGGGGCTTTGAGCAACCTGGTCTAGTGGAAGGTGTCCCTGCCCACGGCAGGGGGTTGGAACTGGGTGATCTTTAAGGTCCCTTCCAACCCAAACCACTCTATCATTGTATGATCCTATGAAAGTGCAACCCCTCAGTTAGGGCAAATAAATCACAGTTACTCCGGTTTGTAGCCACCTTCTGTGAGTGACCTCTCCAGGGAGGGACTGCGGGAGGTTGGCGAGGGAGTAACAGGGCTCAGATGGGAGTAGGATGTGGGAGATGGGAGGGAGTGAATAGGGGCCTGCACAGGTCTGGGGTCAAGGGTGTGTGAGACTACAGAGGGGACTGGGAGTCCCTGGGGCTCTAGGACAGGAGGACTGGGATACTGAGAGCTTTGGGGAGAAGGAATTACAACATCATAAAATAATTTAAGGTGGGAGGGGTGGAAGATGGATTCCTGGGGACAAAATCCTGGGTCTGTGGGAGGTGCTGGAGGTTTTTCAAGCACTAGCATTGGTATGTGAGAATGCAAGGGTAGGGAGGAGTTAGAAAAGCAGGGCTTGCAAGATCCAGTGTTTACAGTTAACTTGTTTGCTTCCTGAAATATGACCCCTAAAACCATGCAGAAAAGCTGTGTGTGTGTAATTTAGGATAACCATCTTGTGCATAGCCCAGCACTTTCCACTCCCCTTATTGCATGCTGTGGAGGTGTAACAAGTAACAGGAGCCATGAGCTAGGAAGAGTTGGCAAGCAGTTTGTGTGTTCCTTCTGTGAAAGACATTTTCCCAATACCTCCCTTGCAGCTATTCTGAGGAGCAAACATCTGTGTACCTGACACATAACTGAATCAACATCTGTTCTGCTATTCCACCAATTAACCAGGAGGGTTAATGGACCCTCAGTCCCAGTTAGTGCAGCAGATTGCCCAAGGTGGTAGCTTTATTTCAGCCCAGGGTTTCAGTGTCTCCTTTCATCTATTTTTACTTCTGCACACACATATTCTTCATTACACTTAGGATGCTTGGGGTTGAAAAAGTGTCTGTCACACCAGAAATAATACAGCAACTCCACTGGCACTATGGGAACTGGTCCAGATATGCACTGGTGTGACAGCACAAGTATCACTTTAGTTTTCCATCCTGGACTAGTATGAATGTGTTTTCACATACAGCAGAGCAGCAGCAATAGCAATAGTAGTAATGATTAGCAGGGAAATATGCATGCTTTTAAGCTGAGTCAGATATCCGTATCAAAATTTTGTCCTCCGTTACCCTCTGCTGAACACAGGCATATAGATCATGGGTGTTTATGTTCTTTGTTGCTTTAATCCAGGTTGGGGATGGAAACCCCCTAAGGCTTTGGAAAGCCTCAGTGGAAGTGGAAGCCCCTCCATCAGTTGTCCTGAACCGAGTGCTGAGAGAACGTCACCTCTGGGATGAGGACTTCTTGCAGTGGAAGGTGGTCGAGAGCCTGGACAAGCAGACAGAGGTTTACCAGTATGTTTTGAACAGCATGGCTCCTCATCCTGTCCGAGACTTTGTCGTTCTAAGGTGAGCTAAGGGCAGTTCTCCAGTATCTTTGCTTCCTGCAGTGCGTACAAAGAAGATCTGGTCTTATCTCAGCCTTCGCATCTGTATAATTGTTCTTCGAGAACTCTGCTCCTGGGCAGCAGTGTTGATTTCTCATACTGAATTAAAATTGTACACCTAGAGCACGCTAACCTTTTCTCTGATGTAATTTGAACAGCACATACTCCTGAGGCCATAAATATAATTTCTTCCTTAGAACAGATGTCTGATAATAGCTGCTGTTCTCTCTTAGCTCTGTTTGTTGCCAAAACAGTCCAAATGGAACCCAATTGTTTTTTACACTGCTTCTGCTGGTCTCTGGGGAACGTTTGATGTTTGAGAGCCAAATGTTTAGTAGAGAAGATAGTGATGCTTTTAAGCTAAGGTTGTTATATGGTGTCTATATAAGTTGATATTTTAGATTTGCAGTTGGAGTCTTTGTAGACTAAGAAATGCTAACGCATGAAGATCCTAGTGTGGAAATGAACAAAGAGGTGGCAGATATGTATTCTGACTGTATTCCAGGGGATGACATCTCTCAAAGAAATGTATAGCTGTGTATCAATATTCCAAATTCAGTCCCAGTTCTGCCATTGTCTGTCTGCCTGTACAGAACAGACAAAAAAATTCCTCTTATGCACATTCTGCCTTTGAAATCCTGGCCCTTTGCTTGCTAGGAGCTATTGCAGAGCTACTGACATATTTCACTTACAGGGTAGGGTCAGGCCTACAGTTATTTATTTCAAGATGATGTTGTGCATTCCCACTCTTGATCTTTGCTTTTTTTGATTGAAATTATGTGCCAGAGAAATACTAAGTAGTTGTTCTGGTTTGGCTGGGACAGAACCACAGCCCAGCCATGCTGGGCAGGCTGTTAGCCGTGTGGAGTCAGCCAGGGCAGCTGACCTGAGGGAGCTACAGATGTAGCCCACACCATAATGTCATGGTCAGTGTAAAGGGGGAAGGTTTGCTGAGGAGCTCCTGTGGGAGTTCTTCCTGGAGTTCTGGCTGGGGTTCCTGCTTGGGTTCCTCCTCTTTCCTTCTCTTCCTGCTCCTGAGGACTGTGAGGGCCAGGCATTCTAGGCTGAGTATAACTTTACATACTTTATCTGGTTTGCTATTTCATTAAATCTGCCTTTGCTTCAATCTTTGTGTCTCCTCTCCTTTTCCTAATCCCCCTTCTTGACTGGGGAGGGGTCATTGGGTGATAGAATATCTGCTGTTGTTTTGCCCCTGGTACGGGCTGAACATAGACAGCAGTTTTGACAAAGCAAATAGTCCAGTGAGTTAGAATTGTATTAGAGGGAACAAAGATTGAAGGAAAAAGATGAGCCAAATAAAATACAATTATGATAGTACATCTGTTTCATGAACTTCAGTGTTCTATTGGAAAATGATAACATGCAGATATTGTCAGTATAAGAGAAGGATTACTGAAACTATTAGAGCAAGATTTAAAAAATATGTTCTGTAAGTTCTTTATGATGTTAAAACACTACTCCTTCCATTACTCCCATTACTCTATTTCTTTTTGCCTCCCCACAGTGCACTGGGCTAAATTAAATATTTTATAATTAATTTTGTTATATAATATATTGACTTAGAGCAGTGATAAATTTGGCCCTCCACATAGTACCAAGATGATTGTCTGGGAGCAGCGGGGAGGTTTTGATGACCATAATTCTGTCCTCTTACTTGCCACTTAGTTCACTGTTAGATTTCATCGTGGTCTATGTTCTTTAAAGACCTGATGTGCAGTCACATCCGTTAAAGAAATTTTTTTTTTTTTACTAACCCAGGCAGAATGACCCCCAACCAAGGACTGAAACACATATTATAAAACTGAATCCTGGTGGGTTTTTAAGGGCTGAAAACAGCCTTCGGGGAGATCTGTCAGATTCTGTTGCTTATCTCTTTTGATTTATATCATTAAGTCTAGAGCAAGGTTAGCCTGTGGTCTCCCAGTCACTATGATACCTTATGAGTGGTGGGAAGTGAGCAGTGAAATTATAATTCACCTCTGGGGACATGAATAAATATGATTTAACAGACAGCAATTTTCTGCTTCCCAATCAAACTTTTGGCTGTGAAAGGATAAACTTAGTTGTTCTTTTTTTTTCAATTTGGCAGTCATAATGAGGGGGTTAAGGTCCCTTGAGAAGACTCTAATGGTAAGAGGATAGGGGCGATGTTTCATATGCCTGGGATCTGACACAGCTCTCAGCTGCCCTGCACAGGCATTGCTTCTCATTAAAGATTCCTCAAATATTTAATGTTCATTAAGTATCACAGCATCCCTGTGAGTTAGGTGCCATGCCCATTTTTACTGCCACAAGATATTCAGAGAAGTACAGAAACTGGCCTAAATTCATATAACTGGGAATAGGAATTGCAAGTCTTCTGCAGCCTCTGAGATACACGCTTTTCCACTTCACAAATGTCCCAAGTGCGTGCCATATAGTTACCAAAATGATAAGGTCACATCTCAGTGCTGTGCAGGCATTCACAGTAGATGGTTCAGCATTTCACAGTAGATCTGAGGTGGGATTTCCTACTCTCCATGTGTTTCATCTGCCAAGATAACTCGTAACTTTTATTAATGCACAGACACATGTAAAACCTTCTGAAGTCAGTGTCTTCCTGCAGTGTCTTGAATAACAGCTCGATTTCATGTAAGAAAAGTGCAGAATGTTTAAATTGTCTGCTGAAGTCCAAACTTCAACAGCCCTTGAAAGCAGCTTACCTGCCAAAACATGATACTTTCCAAGGTAGCGTAATCCCTGTCTCAGACAGTCCATGGCAAAATGATGCGCATTACACAGCGCAGTGGGAATTTCTCATAGCATAGGAAAGAGCATAGACCTACCCTGTGAGATTCAAGGCAGATGAGAAAGATGTAAGACACCAGCATATGTAAAGAATGTTTATAGAATAAGAAAAAAATGTTAAGTATTGAAGTCTAGGTCTCCTGAACTTTGTGGAAAACTTCTGCAGCATGTAAAAGAGGCTAGACACTTGGGAGAGGTAGAAAAATGAAAGGGTAGTTTGTTTTTCTTTTTTTAGTTCAGGTGACCTTGAAACATATTCCGAGAGTTTCAGAAGTCAATGTGGGTAGTAGTGAGGATTTCTGCTGTGCTAAACCATGTTTGTTGTTCTGTGAGTCTGCATGGGAGCAATGCAACATTTCAGCCTTTGCTGGATGGCTTATGCTCACTTTATCTCCTTTCCAAAACTTCTGTCTGTCTGCGAAAGGCTGTATCACACCCTGTAATACATAATGGTTGCAAAACGCTCATGTGGAGAAGCAAAACTGCTCCACCTGGAGCCTGCAGCAACATAGATGGGTGGCCATTCCACATCGTGGTCAGACTCCCAGCTGGGGAACACGAAACTCCTTCAGGAACTCCTAGGACAGTCCAGTGGCATTGCAGGTGGTGACAACAAGGATAGGCAGACAAGCGAACTGTAACTTTAATTGTGGTTCTTACTCGTGTGCCTGAAAGTTTCGTTACTAAAGTGATTCCGTCTTGAATGTCTTGCTGCAGGACATGGAGGACAGATTTGCCAAAGGGAATGTGCATGCTGGTTGCCATCTCTGTGGAGCACGAAGAGGCTCCTCTTATGGGAGCTGTGCGAGCCATCATGATGGACTCTCAGTACTTGATAGAGCCGTGCGGCTCAGGAAAAGCCAGGCTGACCCACATCTGCAGAATTGACCTAAAGTAAGTATCCTGCCTGCAAAAAACAGATGTCCATTCAGCAGTGAAAAAGCCTCTGGCTCAGGGAAGGGAACTGTTGAGAACAGAGGACATGGTCAATGTAGCTTTGCTGCTTTCGAGTCTTCCTGCAGTCTTTTCTATCCACCAAGCTCATTTCTCCACTCAGCATCTACTGCTGTTAGGATGTGATCATAGAAATAAAATCTGCTTATTTGATTACTGCAAGGGAGCACTTCAGAGTATGCTGACAATGACAAGTATTTGAAGTCCCCACCACCACTGTGGGCAGCAGGGAGTAGGAAGCATGGCAAGTCCGTTCCTGCAGGGCATATTTCTTCAGTATTTGAGTTTCTCAATAATTCTCTTTTCATTTCTTCAGAGGACGTTCCCCAGAGTGGTACAACAAAGGCTTTGGACATCTGTGTGCAGCAGAAGTTGCCAGGATCAGAAACTCATTTCAGCCTCTGATTGCCGAGGGACCAGAAACAAAAATCTGAGGAAGTGTTCCTGGGAACGTGTAAGCGTAAACCAGGGTCTGGCAGGAAACAGGAATACTGAAAGCAAAGATTTTATTTAAGCTGCAGAAATCTGACCAGACCTGGGTCTGTACAGAGCTGAAACAGGAATTTTATAGGAAAGTTCTTTTATTCTGGAGACTTCACCTCCCTCCACCACATCCCTTCTGTATTAATTTCAATGATTGAAGTAAGCATTTCTTCAGAGAGTTTTATCGTTATTACTTTAAAATCAGACTATTGTCATTACTTGTGTGTTACATAACTCTGGTATTTAAAGGCTTCTAAGAAGCATATTTTAATTGTAAATAAATTATGTACAGTATGTATATATCTATATTATATCTATATATATGTATATGTATAAATTAATTATTTTGTATATAACTCAGTGCAAATCACTTGCATCAGCTGGACCTTAAGTGAATCTGTCACTTGTTTCTTAGTGTGTCACTGCTACATAAGCTGCGTTTGCTGTTATCACAGAGCTACCAGGCATAGTCCATGTGATAACAGAAACGCCTGTTCTCAAATATGTTTCGTGTTTGTGTATGCTGTGAGAAGGTACCCAGAAATAGATGTAGGAAGAATTAAAAGAACTAAGGAAGGAGGTTACTGTACATTTAAAAATGAGTGAATCAGTTTCACCAAATGAAATACATGGAAATGTAACAGGGACAGTTTGAAGGCCATTTGCATTCAGCTGCAGAATTGTGACTGCTAGTACAAGATGTTGAAAACTTACCTATTGCCTTAATTAATGGTATATCTGCCGCTACAGCACCTCTCTATGTGCAGCGTTCAAAGTAACTGCTCGTTCTTGGAGAGTACAAGATAACGCCGTGTGTACTGAGGTGTCTGAAATCACACCCGTAAGTTGTTAAGCTGTTAATCTTTTTTTTTTTTTTTTAGCATTTTGTCTAGGTTCTGAGTAAGTGTTCCTGTGTTGTTCTTTCCTTCTCCCGTAGAGATGGCTAATTGTTAAGAAACTCCAAAGCAGATTTTCCACATCCAGTGGACACAAAGACGTGCAGCTGAATACCATGCCTTTTAATATTCTTACTATACAAATAACTAAACTTTTTTAAGCTTTTAAACAAATCTTGGAGGTTTAAAAGACTAAATGCAGACTATGCTTGAAAAAACTGCTTTTATAGTAACAGCAAGCATTTTCATATTATATTGCACTGATCTGCTTGATCCTGCTTCTGTAGGCATTGGTGGGAGCAGGATTAGCCCCTGACTATGAGGAGTAGGAGCCATTTAAGCCTATTATATCATTTCATTTTCAGGGACCTATTATTTTGCTAATGGAAGAATGCTTTAAAAGTAATAATAATTTGTTGACGTTACCTTTGAGGCAGCGTTCCGTTTTGTTTCTAACTAACTGAAGACCAAAAATGATATTACACCTACGATTCAATAAGAATGTACAAGCCTGTTAATACTGTTCTTCATTAATCACATTTGTTCACTTTGACTTTATTTATTGCTGCATAAACCAGCTGAGTTATTCATAGCCAGTGTTTTAGCTCAGTCCTCCCAACAAAATCCACTAAGATTTAGTATGAGGTCAATTAAGCAGGATACACTGCCTGCATGAAGCTACAGTTCTGTGCCCTGATTCAGTAAACAGGGAAGTCCCTTCAAAGCCAGTGCTTTGCATCTGCCCCGGGTATGGGGGCTGTGTGGCGGGTCATGTGTGGTCCTTTTGAGCTGCTAGAGCAAGGTCCCACGTGTCATCGTGCACACGTGTAAGGGCTGTGCTGGTGGCGGACAGCCCTGAGATCCGAGGAAACAAGCTGGTGGGAGCTTGGGGTGGACAGGGGCAGGGTGACCCGGCACGGTGTCCCTGTCGAGCAGCAGAACCTGAAAAAAGTCACTGTTGTCTTCCCCTGTGGGCTGTCTCACCCACATTTTGTTGTGCAGCTCCCAGGATCGGGGATGTGGGCTGCCCATGAGCTCCTGCCTTGAGTTGATGGCCCGTGATAGTTGCAATGGGCAACTATTGCGTGTTTTTAAGTCTTAAAGACAGGGGAGCGCTCACACCCGTACATGGCTGCGTTGAGGCCTGGCAGTCACCAGCCAGGTGCAGGGCACCACCGCTGCCCGGGTCCAGCTGTCCCAGGAGCAAGCAGTGGCTCATGAGCCGGCAGGGCCAGGCCAGTCCCCTGGTTCCAGCGGGACTGCCATCCCAGAAAGCGGCACCTCCTCCCCAAATGCCTGTAGCCGTGGCAGCATGTTTCGTGCCCGCTCTTTTCCAAAACACAAGCAATTAGAGCACTTCTGCTACATTAGTTTGCATAAATGAATACAATAGTGCCTCAGTATTAATGGGCGCAGAATTTCTGGCCCTCAGAATGGCAGTTGTCTGACAGTAAATAATTCCTTAAGGAAATGAAGGGAAAACCTGGACAGTGGTTTTATCCTGTCTGACAAGTCTTCGCGCTGGTGGAAGGGGCCCTGTGCCACCTGCCGCTGTTAGCAAGGTAGGATTGTCCTCCTACCCTTGCAGAAGCTCTGTCATGTGCTTCTGGCATCTCTAAGCCATGTATCAATGAAATAAAATTTCTTTAAAATGCACATTATGCCATGTCTACCATTCAGCTATCACAGTATTTTGTATTGTTACATTGCCATTGAGAATACATTATGATAATTGCATTTTAAAATGTTATACTCATATCAATACCTCATATTTTTACCTCATCTGTTGGTATCAGTCATTAGTTGTAAATAAATAATTGCAGGGTTGAATAAATTTGCATACACTAAAGAATCACATTTGCTTTGTGCACTTATTTATCTCTTGGCACAAGAAACACGGTACATTTAAGTCCTGCTTTTTTTCTTGCAACTGGCTGTACACTAAACTGCTCTGATAAGATTTTGGGCTCAAAATGATATTGTTGTCCATTATACAGAGGGACCCGGGAGGCCATCCAGAGGGACCTGGACAGGCTGGAGAGGTGGGCCCGTGTGAACCTCATGAAGTTCAACAAGGCCAAGTGCAAAGTCCTGCACCTGGGTCAGGGCAATCCCCGATATCAACACAGGCTGAGGGATGAAGGGATTGAGGGCAGCCCGATGGAGAAGGACTTGGGGGCGTGGGTGGGTGAAAAGCTGGACATGAGCTGGCGATGCGCGCTCACAGCCCAGAAGGCCAACCATATCCTGGGCTGCATCAAAAGCAACGTGGCCAGCAGGTCGAGGGGGGTGGTTCTGCCCCTCTACTCTGCTCTGGTGAGACAGCACCTGCAGTGCTGCATCCAGCTCTGGGGTCCTCAGCACAAGAAAGACACAGAGCTGCTCAAGCGGGTACAGAATGGGGCCGCGAAGATGCTCAGGGGGCTGGAGCACCTCCCCTGTGAGGACAGGCTGAGAGAGTTGGGGTTGTTCAGCCTGGAGAAGAGAAGGCTCTGGGGAGACCTTATTGTGGCATTAACAGTGCTTAAAGGGGGCCTACAAGAAAGATCTTTTTAGCAGGGCCTGTTGTAATAGGACAAGAGTAATGGTTTTAAACTAAAGGAGGGCAGATTTAGTCTAGATATAAGGAAGAAATTTTTTACAATGAGGGTGGTGAAACACTGGCACAGGCTGCCCAGAAAGGTGGTAGAAGCCCCATCCTTGGAAACATTCAAGGTCAGGATGGGGCTCTGAGCAACCTGATCTAGCTAAAGGTGTCTTGCAGGGGGGTTAGATTAGATGACCTTTAAAGGTCCCTTCCAATCCAAACTATTCTATGATTCTGTACTTATCCTATAATGTCCTTAAGCATACATGAGCTTCACGGCAAAGGCCATGTTTTCCAAAGAAGCCATTAAGCTAGGATGGCTGGCTTGAGAAAGGTAAACTCAGGTCCTCAACAGTGTTTAGGGCCCTGACTTCCAGTGAATTCAACCACGTTTCTGCATCTATGTTCTTGCCAACAATCTAAGTCTCAGTTCATAAGAGTGACTGTGGAGCCGGGATGTTGAATGTTGGTTTCACATTATCAGATTTCAGCCATCTCAAATCCATCGGGCCACTGCAAAAGAGAAAAAGATGCAACAGCAGGATAGTGATTCCTGTGGTTTCTCTTAACACATATCCATAGATGGAATAAATGTCCCTTTGGCTGGGCCTATATCTCTCCAACTCTCTCTTGAGTTACCAAAGAAGCAGAGTCTCAGCAAGCAGGATGCTGAGCAGAGAGTCTGCTATGAGACACTATCTAGGAGGGTATAAGCCTTTATGTCCCACCATTCAGGAAAACTCAGTATTAAACTTTGGACTGAAAGGAAGCACTTTTTCTCCAATTCTCTGCCATGGCAGAGATGGTCAGCTGAAAGTCCATCCTTTCTTGAAAAAAAATACAGTATGTGATGTGCTCTCATTCCCATCTGTCCCTCCCAGCTGCCTGCAGCAATGTCAGAGTAAACAACCTGTCTGAACCCTAACAGCACTGATGTTTCAGCACCTGGTACGTGCAGTCTTTGTAACATTGAATTCTGGGGCATCCATGCTCTTTACAACGCCTTGCAGGAGTCACCAGCGAGGCATTGCTCTGTTTGATGCACTTGCTCTGCAGAATCGGTGTCAGCCTTGGAGGATCTTGACATGCCTAAGAGATGTTGCTCTTCAAAATGGCAGGTAGTTGGTAGACAAGAGCACAGGCTGAACATGAACATACTGAAATGACTGTGAGATGAAACCATTGGAGGAAATATCCAGAAGACTGCTGGAGCCTGCAAATCAAATAAGAGAGGATGGAAACTGCTGCTGCTGCTCCAGCTCAATAGTGACATGGAAGAGCTGGGGAGTGAACACAGACCTTGCCAGAGAGAAAGCAGCACTTAAACAGCCTCATCCACTCACAGTCCCTTGGGGACTTAGCATGGCCATGTCATGCTCTCCGTGCCAGATACGTGTCAGCCACAGCTGCCCAAGGTCTTCATTTGGATGGGCACTAGGCCAAGCAGACCACGTTGTTACAACTGCAG